TGGGAGAAAACCGATCGATGTTTCTCTCTCCTTTCCTCTTTCTTTAGCAATAAGCATATCCTCAAGTGAGGATATAAATAAATTAATAAATAAATAAAATAATATTAAAAACAATATTTTAAAAATACAGTAGCATACATAAAGTTCATAACAAACAGAAATGTGATTTTTTTTGGCCTATATCTTCATGTAAGCTTGTCTCATAGTCTCACCTTTTAATACTTTACATATGCTTCTTACTCAATGTATACACCTAGGGGAAAATGTATTTGATTTTTTTTGCAGTAGCTTTCTAAGATCTTAGATACTAAAGTGCATCACAACGTAAATAAAATTTTGTTGAGCAATTAGCCACCTCAAGCTACTAGAATGTTATGAACTGAATGTTTGTTCTCCCCCAAAATTCACATGTTGAAACTTACCAATTCTCAATGTGATAGTATTTGGAGGTGTGACCTCTGGGAGGTACTTCTGTCAAGAGAGTGGAGCTCTTGTGAATAGATTAGTGTCTTACAAGAAGAGGCCAGAGAGCTAGCTCACTCTCTTTCCACAACAGGAGGATACAAGATCAACCATCTGTGAACCAAAAGAGAGCTCTCACCAGGACACAACCATGCTGGCACCCTGACCTTGGACTTCCAGCCTCCAGAACTGTGAGAAGTAAATTTGTGTTGTCCCTAAACCACCAGTTTATGGTATTTTCTTGCAGCAGCCCATGCTAAGACATAGAGCATCATCTACTTTTTAGATAATCTAGGAAATATTATCCTTCACTCTCACAATTATATACAAGCTGAGAAGTTGATATGAGTTAGGGGAGGGCATAAGTAAGAAAATCTGTAATTGGTTAATTGTCCTCAGCCAGTGTCCCCTTTCTTCCTCAGAGGAGTTCACCAATGGAGGGCTACTGGCTTGATTTCCCTGATCCAGTGAAACAGGATCTGAACGAAATCACAGAGAAAATAGTGGCCAAACTTAACCCTTCTGGAAACCTAACACATTAGTTAGGAATCAACATTAAGTTTCCCAAAAGGTCCTGGCAACCTGAAAGGATGGGCCCAATTAGGTGATAAAATGTAGTAGAATAAATGTATGATTCTATACTAGGGTCCAAAAACACCAGAAAAATACAAAAAAAAAAAAGTATGGCTTAACAAGAATACACATTAAAAAACTTATGAAGAATTTTAATTGGTAATAAAGACACTGAGGGCCAATAATGTGATTATTAAGAGTTAATATATTAGGCAGTATCAATAGAAATTTAACTTCTTAAGAGAGAGATGATCATCTTATTTTATTCTATTTTTGGAGAGTTTCATCTGGAATTTTTGTTTCTAGGTCATATACTTATTTATAATGTTAAATTAGTGAATATATTTAGTGCCATGCTAAATGAAAAATAGCAATAAAATTTGAAATGCTAGTATAAAACAAGACTGGAGAGAGACAGAACGCTTGTCTTCAACTATGTGGAGGGCTGTCATTTAAAAAGGCTTTAGGCCAATCATTTATGGCCCCTAGGAGGAAGAATTAAACTAGTCTGGCTAACTCCTCCTCATCCTTTAGGAAATATCCCTTCTTCAGGGAGGCCTACTCTGGCCTCTAGATTGTGAGCTCCTGATCACGGGCTTCCTCAGCATTCATTCTTCTCTGCTGGACACTAATCCTATTTCTAATTGTCAAATCAAGCTCTGCTTGACTGCAAATTCCCAGAGAGGGTGGACCATGTCTGATTTGTCAGTCCTATAATACTTCATGCCTAACACAGGGGAATGAATGAAAGAATACATGAGAAACAGATTTGACCGTAATATGACAATGTATTTTGTGATACAGCTATGGAGACATTCACAGGCTGCCTCAAGAAGTTGCAATTTTTCTGCTTGTTTGATTCCCAGTCAGGGCGCAGGCCCGGGTTATGGGCCAGGTCCATGGGCCAGGTCCCCATTGGGGTGCTCTAGAAGCAACCACACACTGATGTTTCTTTCCCTATTTTTCCCTCCCTTCCCCTCTCTCTAAAAATAAATAAATATTTTTTTAAAAAAAAGAAGTAGCAATTTTTCTTTCATGGGAGGCCCTCACTCAGACTATTTTAAATGGCAATCCACTCGCCTGGGGCAGAGGTGGGTGAGATAAAGGGGACAAAGTAGGGGGGGAGGTGTGACTGGATTAAATGATTTTTATCTTCCTTGCCAACCTGAGGCCCTATAATTTGAGCTGTGCTCAGAAAGGTTATGCTTATTATATGATAGATTTCATTTTAGTATTTTAGTACCTCAGCCATATTCTGATCCATTTTGGAAAAGTTTAGTAATAAATTTCTATGTAATTGTTTCTATTCACTCTCAAATCTCATTTGATGTTTCTCTCTCTCTCCTTCCCTTTCCCTTCTCTCCATATTAAAAAAAAAAACCCAAAAACTGATTATTAGTATTTCCATTTTACTCTAAGGGTGCCTAAAACTTCAGAAAACACAGAAGCAGACAGTGAGGTGAGGTCAGACTCAGAGACAAATAAAGTATTTGAGATTCTTAGCATCAGCTGTGCCAAAAGGTAATGCAGATTTGATAAATGACACAAAGTCATTACCTCTCCATTTCCCTTTCTGCCGATTGAATTTTTTTTTACAAGGGCCCAATTTTCCATAGAAACAGATCAGATTTACAGCAAATACAAAGATTGCATCTTTTATTTATAAGGCAAAAAACCTACCCAAACTATTTTTCATTAAAATTGTGTGTCCTGTAACGCTGGCTTTCTGAGTATTAGGCAAACATTTCCTAACACTTTGGTTGTTCCTGTGGGAGTTAATAAGCAAAGACCTTCAAGGTCAATCTCCTCAGCACAGTTCCTGAGACGACCAATTCTGAGCTTGATTATTTGATTCAGTTTGATAATGAAGTTTGGGATGAAGTTGTAAGAGATGTGAACAAACACACATGCTCACTACCCTTTCTCCACTCTGCATTCCTTCTAGAGCAACATCTTTTGTGAGAGTGCCCTCTAGCCTGAAATCAATTCATAGGCAATTACAGAATAAGGAAAAAAAATATGTTATTAACAAGTAGTAATTAAAATATAAATGCAACATTTACTTTGAATCTTCTTACATCCATTGAGAAGGTTTTGAAAAAATATTAGGTAGATAAGACAGAGACAGGGAGTTACATAGGAAGTAGGTAAGACTGCCACAGGATACCCTTGGGTACAGAGTGTAACTGTTGGGAGGGCATCTACCCACTGACAACGGAGCTTCAAGAAAGCTCCCCCCACACACAGAACCGAGTTTGGCTGTCCTGAATGTGTGGACTGGATGGAGATAATTCCTGTCTCTTTTAAATTTAATGTCTAACTCTTTCTGAAGACTTAATTCCTTATTTAAGAATGAGGAAAACAACACAGAGGTTACAGAGAAAAATATAAAGAGAAGTTACACAATTTTCAAATGCTTAACATTTTCCTTCTATACCATCTTATGCTAGCATTTAAAGACCAGAATGTAGGTGCTTGATTTTTACCTCACTCTGTGCGTATATTTATATGCTTTCTACAACTTTCAACAAATCTTGTCAAATAATGTGGTCATTCCTACATTTAGTATAGTAACTTCAAACATGTCTGAGAAAAAACTACATGTGAAAAGAATATGCTTATGCTAAGCAAAAATTACATGGTTGTACTCTTCAGACCAGTGCTTCTCAAACTTTAATGAGCACACAGATCACATGGAGATCTTGCTAACGTGCATATTTTAATCCCATAGGTCTTGGGTGGGGCCTATCATTCTGCACTTCTAACAAGTTCTCAGCTAGGGATGCTGGTCCACAGACCACACTCTGAACAGGTGTCAGACAAAGACATGAAAACCTAGCTTTGGCAGGAAATCTGTGCCCTCAACATCATTCTCACTTTTATTTTTTTCCTCCCTGAGTTTTTGCACTATTTCCTGTTTCACTGGTATGAGAGAAGTTTAGGACTGGGCAGAGTATGTATAAAAGAAAAGAAAATATTCTAACATCTCAACCTCAAGTGGAACAATAATAAGATTTTAAGTTGTCTCAAGGTTAGAGACATATATTTTGATACGCATGAATTATACATACTTCATGCAAATCACTGAATGAACACACAGTAGCCTGTCTATTTCTTTCCACAAATGAAGCCCTGTGTCTGCATAGGTTACAGGAAGTTTGTTTAATTAACACACAGCATACCATGTCATTGTTCAGATATCTCTGGAGAATGAGGTGATCTGAATAATTCAAATTTTCCAGGTAACTGAAATTTATCTTTTTAAGTTTCCAAATATATTTATTTTGGTTATTTTTAACCAAAGCCTTTCTGGAATTAACATATTCAACACAACGTTTAAAATATCTACAATTATCCAGGAACAACAGTGTATTCTGTGGCATGAAAGAACAATGCTATAGGAACTACTCAGTCTAGACAGGCCGTGAGCTCTCACACGGTGGAGTTTTCGATGCCCTGTCAGGGTTTCTCAGCCTGTCTGGAGCAAACTTCTGCCTCCTTCCTCCATGATCAGCTGTCACTTCATACTGCTCTCTGAGTACCCTCCAATTACAATTTTAATCTGCTGGTTTACTTTTTTGTATAATATTCCGGTAATATTCTGAGGCTGGCTCTTTTATTGTCTTTAGAGAGAGGTGAAGTGAGGGAGAGAGAGGGACAGAAACATCAGTGTGGGAGAGAAACATCGACTGGTTGCCTCCTGCGCACACCCCAACTGGGGGCCGAGCCTGCAACCCAGGCATGTGCCCTGGCCAAGAATCAATCCCACAATCTTTCAGTGTGCACGACAATGCCCAACCAACTGAGCCACAAAGGCCAGGGCTCACTCATTTTTTTAATGCAGGAGCTCTCTTCCAGGGCTTTGGGTTAGTGGTTACCTGAATCAGTGCAATCATTCTGGCTTAAAGAAATCACACAAATTGATCCCCTGTAAGCACCTCTTACTATGACCACTGAATACTCACTGATCCCAGTGTCCTTACAGTACTGGACCAAGAACTGTCCCATGACTTTTAATAGATGATTATATTCTTGGACATTGAGAAATTCCTGCTTATTGTGTGATGGTTCCATGATCTCCAAAGGTATGTTAACAATTCCAACCACGCCTGCACCAAGTCTGGAGGAATAAATACACATAAATTTTGTGAAAGTTGGTTAAGGAGTAAAAGAAAAAGCAAAATAGACCTGGTATTTTGAAATCAATTTTTTTTTAAATAAATGTGTTCACTTGGTCTGAACCACGTCAAAGTTTAACAAGTTATTTTACGACTGTGTCTTGTTACATAAATCTATGATGATCCCAGGTATGTTTAGGCTTTAGTTTATCATCACTAAATTAATATGCCTCCTTTTCCAAACCTATCACCTTACATGGAGAGTCAGGGGGGTAGGAAGAGGTCTCTGAGCATTAAACACCACTAACAATGCCTTGCTGCAAGAAGTTCGCATGATCCTCTTAATGAAACTGGCTGGAGAGTCACTGTCTTCACCCTCATTTGATCTGTCAAGTTGGATTTCTCTTCATCATTGCAAAGGTCCGCAGGGTGCTCAGTGAATTCTACTAAGGGAACGTAAGGGCTGGATTATTCCGGAGAGTAACAGGTATCTGCCTGTTAGCCTGATGGATAAACTTGATTTTTGCCCCCACATTTTTAGCAGCTCGTGATGTATGTACAATAACTAGGATATTCTACTTAGATATATAACCTGTTTGGGGAAAGAGTATGTGGACTCTAACTCTTCAAGGCCAATCCAATGCCCTTGGTATGGTATACAATCAAGCCTTCCCAATTTGGGGTCCCTGCCTATCAAGTTTTTCACCACTTTCCCCTCCTACCCGGCCCTCCCTCCACTATTCATTCTGTAGTCTATATTAGGGCATCACAACGGGGTGGGGGGAGGCTTGAACATGGGAGGTGGGGGTGAGTAGGGTGGGGAAGAATAATGGGGGAAAATGGGGACAACTGTAACTAACAACAATAAAAATAACATAAATAAAATAAAATAAATATTTAAGTCAAAAAAATAAAATAAAATAAATTAGGGTACCATTTCTCCCAGGAAGCCTGACTGGTTTGGTTTATTGTCCCTCCTAAGTGGTCTTTTTGTACCTGATGTTTGCTTCTAGCATGCATGCATGCATGCACGCATTCATTCATTCATTCATTCAGGCTGAGCACCTGGCCCTACTCCAGAAACTAGGAATACAGTAACAAACAGAAAGACAATGTCCCTGTTTATGAAGCTTCTCTTCTACTGAAAGGTGACAAAGCATGATGCTAGTAAATGGACAAATGTACGAGATCATTTCAGATGGTGAAAAGTGAGATGAAGAAAATAAATCAGATGCTGTGATACGTTTAAAAAGTGACAGGTATGTAGGGGTGAGGTCATGGCAGGAGCTAATTTTATTTAGGCAGTCCAGGAAGACCTTTCTGGGAGGGGACTTTGGAGCTAGTGCCTCATGACATGCTAGGACCAGCAGTATGAGCTAAAGACAGAAGGTTCTAGGCAGAGGAAATAGCAAGTGCCAAGGCCGGAAGGCAGGAAAAAGCTCAGGGAGTCTGAGGAACGGGAAGCCTGCCGGTGGGAGGGCAATGCAGGGAGAGTGTGGGTATGGGTGGGGCGGGGGCTGCCGAAGAGCCTGGCAAAGGCCAGATCACCTGCATTGGGGTTTTAAGCAAGACAGTAAACCCGTTTATGTTTTCAAAGATCATTCTGGCTGTATCCATACAATATAAAAATTTGTATTTATACATTCGTCCCTTTCACTGGACTGTAAGTTTCTTAGCAAACGGTAATAGGTCTTCAGCATCTTGTCCACAGAGTTTAGTACAATGCTTGGCACTCATGATATTCCATTATAAGTGCTTGTTAAGTGAACATATGAATGAATTGCTAATTCTTTAAGACTGAGAAAGCAAGATGAAAAAATTTCCCCTAAGCCATTCTACTGGTCACAGTTGTCTTATCCAACTCTGTGCTTTCTATAATCTCTTTTCAGGACTCTACATAATTCATGAAAGCAGCTGGTGGAGTTTCAGACCATTGGGAAAGCACCAGAATGTCTTAGTCTGGAATTCAACTAGGTTGGAGAGTGTTAAAAATACATGCTCATGCAGTTAACTGGCAAGAACTCATACATGAAAGGGTTATGTAAAATGTTAACAGGGTTGTTTTGTAAGACTATGGATTTTTCTTTTCTAAAAGTTATTTAACATGCTCACATTATTTTTAAATAGGTATAATACTGAAAGCTTAACTCAAGTAAATGGTGCAAAGAATGTTAAAACATCAAGTTGCTCAGAAAATGCATTGAAAAAAATTTCCAAAAGTGAGCCTCTCCCTGAGAGCCAGCATACAGCTCTATTGGATTTATAAATTAGGCAGATTAATGCCTGTGCACTGATGGGAAGGGTGAAAAGAGGATGTGACACCTGCTCCCATTATGATTAATCACTCCTCTAACTCCAGAGACGGCCTCTTACTGCCACCGCCCTCCTCCTGCCTGTGCCTCTGAAAATAAAAACATACTTACAAGGACTTCGTTTTCAACTGCGGGCCCACTTTCTCATGCATCTTGATCAAGCGGTTATTACTGTAAATGAACATCCCAGCTTGGCTTTGGTTTTCTATGTTCACTCCAAAGAACAGGGCAAGTGTCCTTGCTTTCTTTAATTCTCTAGCATTGTATTTAGAAAAGTTTTAAAAGTTGTGTTAAATAAAAATATACAGTTTACAAAAATGTTAAGTATTAAACTCAGAAGGTAAATATCAAAGGAATTATATGTGAGGTACCCGCTATCTTGCAATGCCTAGTGAGTACACTCAGTATCCCTGCATAGCCAAGTATTCTGTATAAACATTTGGCCAATAACTGTACCAGTCAAACACAAGCATTCCTGGATTCAAAAGCAAGTTTGCCAATTTAAATTTACAAGAACTATAAAATGCCAAAATAGTTGTAAATGTCAACTGGTCTAATATGTACATTGCAGCCCTTTTGAAAAATGATGACTCGAAGGTTTTAAAATTCAGGTATTTCTAACACTGGATGTGATTTCTAACTTTCCACATGTTCTCAAGCCTCCAAATGTCCTACATAGGTTGGGATGTGCCAGTAGGTATTCTTTAGCTTTCTTTTTCCAAAGTCAAAGTTAATAAAGCAAGTTTACATGGGCAACAGATGCGAGCTCCCATTTCTTTGACTCTGTCCTGCTATACTATATATTATGTGACTTTTCTACCAAAAGTGTAAAATGGAATGTGATAGAAACAACCACAGTAACAGGAGGCTGTTTAGAGCTGTGAAAAGTGCTAGGATGTGAAAACCAGAAAGATAGACCTAGCTTCATATACATGCTTGTCTTTGTCATAACCATGTGACTACGGATGAGTCACTTCAACTTTCTGTCTCATCTGAAAAATGGAAATAAACCTATCTAGTCACATGGGATACCATGAAGATGAAAAGGGATAATGGTAATATAAACCTGGAACAGATGAGGTGCTGAGCAACTGTTATTTTCTTTTTTTAAGAATAGTAGCAAATACAATTCTTCCCCCTCCACCCACCGTGTAGCTCCTTTCATTCCACAAAAACAGCCTTTTTTTTTTTTTTTTCTAATTCATGACCATGAGCTATTACAACTGACATAAGATACTTACTGGACTGATTAAATATATCTATCATTAAAGGACAATGATAAAGTTCTATCAGTCTTTCTCTGTGGATATGATATAGAGTACAGAGATTTTCTGAGGAACATGGGTTCATATTTATGTATTTTTAAACGTAGGATTAAATATATGTGAATTAAACTTTTTCTCAAAAATGTGTACTCAAAAATAAATCTACTCAATAATTAGATCCTCACTCTTTAACGAAAGAACTAGGTAAGGAACCCCAAAACAGGTTTTCAGTTTAACTTGTTAAACACCTGAGTTGGATAGCAAGTCCATGTTACAAATGTAAATAATGGTGCTGTAATATAAGCCTGATTTTTTATCTAAACCATATGTAAGTGATAAATTTACTTGAAATATTTTATATCTTAAATTTTAATCAGTGCTAGAAGAGGGAAGAAACAGGGACCAACTTTCCATAGTTTAAATAGTAAAGGACACAGGGAAAGTAGTTATCAGTTGATCCCCTGGGAAAGTCACTTCTTCATCTGATCAGACACTGAACTAATTTTTTACTCTGTATTCAGAAGTTTCAACATTATATAAAATACATGTGCCTCAAATATATTTTTAATAAATATTTTATATTGATTATGTTGGGTGATTTTGATCATATGAGGCTTACTGTCATAAGATGTCATAGGCTGAAAAACAGAATTTTTCACAAAACCACCAAATCTGCCTACTCAGATGATACCTATTCAGATATTGGAATTTGTTTTAACATAGTACAGAGGATTCTGGCAAAGAAAAACTCTTATATCTTACCTCTGTTTCTCTTTAAGAATCTTATGCTTTGCTTCCACATCTTCCAGAGCTTTCTGTAATACATCCTGCAGAAGAGAGCATTTGGTTAGGAGAGAACATTATGCCATTAAATTAACGAAAGCTAAGCTCAAATTTATTATCCTATTACGTGAATGCTTCACAAGGCTAACAATGATAGGTCACATTGCCTAGTGCAATTTTACCACAGCAGATAATAAATACTTGATAAATGACTACTTTCCAATAGCTAAGAAGACAAACTAAATCCTAGCCCACAGTTCTGTTCATGCACAAGTTCTGACACCCTCTCTGCCTTTCGAAGAGCCACTGCCCCCTGTAACCACAGAGGTTCTCATACTAACTTCCTGAAAGCTTGGGAAAGTCGTTCAGTGTACCTAGATTCTAGCTTCTGTCTGTGAGAACAGGAAATGGTGAATCACATAAGGCTTCTTTCAGGAATAAAAATATATATAAGATTAAAAAATTTAGTCAGTAGCCAAAAGAAAATGCTTGCTTTATATAAAGTTCCTGATACTCCCTAAACTTTCTCCCTCTCAGAGTGATCAATACCAGTACCCTCTGTCTTTCTTCTAATTTGATAGAGTTGGTTCATGCACTACCCTATCTCTAATATCTTCTTTCTAACCAGACATAAAAGAAAATACATCATTATTTCACAAACAAGAATACATTTTTAGAGGACTTCCAGTCAAGATGGAGACATAGGAAAACCTGGCTGGCCACCCCACACACCCATAGCAAAAATTACAACTAAACTACAAAACAACTATCACCAAAAAAATCATCAGAAAGTTGAGCTCTATGGAAGTCCAACATCCAAGGAATTGAAGAAGTCACATTCATTTAGACAGGGAGAAGGGGCTGAGGTGCTGAGACATGGAAACATAAAACAGGTGGTCCCACACCTATGTGAGGTGGACAAAAATTGGGAGGGATATCTCAGGAGAGAGGGATCCCTGACCCACACCAGACCATCCAACCCAGGGTTCCAGTGCCAGAAAGATAAGTCCCCATAACTTCTGGCTAGTAAAAATCAGCGGGGATTGGGATGGTGAAAGAAACTGAAGGATTCTTAGGTGTCTCCTCTTAAATGACCCACCACAAATTTAGGACTTACACAGATTCGCTCCCTCTGGGCTCCAGCACCAGGACAGCAGCTGGAAGGGCACCAGTGGCATATGGGGAGACACTCAAGTGTCTCGCAATGGGGCGAGTGCCAGAGGACAACTTCCTCCTGGACAAAACTCCAGAGGCCAGGCAGAGACATTGTCCCCTTTCTGAGCCCTGCTCCACACAGAGCCACAGAGTGGCAACACGATATCAAAGACTCCATCAACCTGGTTCACTTGAGCTCCCCGCCCAGGTGGTTACCTCAAGCTCCACCCCATCCAACTTACCGGTGCGCTTTTCTACAAAAGGTCACACTGCTAAGATAGGGAATCAAAGCACCTCTACTTACTACATAGAAACAAACAAAGGGAGGCTGCCAAAATGAGGAGACAAAAAAATATGGCTCAAATGAAAGAAGAGAATAAAACTCCATAAAAAGAACTAAACAAAATGTAGATAAGCAACCTATCAGAGGCAGAGTTCAAAACACTGGTTATCAGGATGCTTGAAGTACTCACTGGGTACTCCAACAGCATAAAAAAGACCCAGGCAAAAATGAAATAAAGAAAACTAAGTGAAATAAAGAAAAGTTTACAGGGAACCAACAGTAGAGTGGATGAAACAGTCAATCAAATCAATGATTTGGAGCATAAGGAAGAAAAAAAACATTTACTCAGAACAGCAAGAAGAAAAAAGAATCCAAAACAACAAGGATAGGCTAAGGAGCCTTTGGGACAACTTCAAACACACCAGCATTTGAATCAATGGGGTGCTAGAAGTAGAAGAGAAAGAGCAAGAAATTGAAAGCTTATTTGAAAAAAAATGAAAGAAAACTTCCCTAATTCGGTGGAAAAAGTAGACATACAAGTCCAGGAAGCACAGAGAGTCCCAAACAAGATGGATGTGAAGAGGACAACACCAAGACAGATCATAATTAAAATGCCAAAGGTTAAAGATAAAGAAACAATCTTAAAAGCAGCAAGTTAGTTACCTACAGGGGAATGCCCGTAAGACTGTCAGTGATTTCTCAAAAGAAACTTTGAAGGCTAGAAGAGATTGGCAAAATATATTCAAAGTCTTGAAAAGTGGAGACCTACAGCCAAGATTGTTCTACCCAGCAAAACTACCATTTAGAAAGGAAGGGCAAATAAGGTGCTTCCCAAAAAAGGTAAAGCTAAAGGAGTTTATCATCACCAAGCCATTATTGTATGAAATGTTAAAGGAACTTATTTAATAAAAAGAAGATTAAAACTATGAACATTAAAACTATGAACACTAAAACGGCAACAAATTTGCAACTATCAACAATTCAAGATAAAAAACAAACTAAGCAAACAAGCAGAACAGAAACAGAATCATAGATATGTAGCTCACTTGGAAGGTTATAAATTGGGAGGGGGAAGGGAGAGAATAGGGGAAAAGGTACAGGAAATAAGAAGCACAAATTGGTAAGTACCAAATAGGGGGGGTGTTAAGAACAGTATAGGAAATGGAGTAGCCAAAGAAATTATATGTGTGACCCTTGGAAATGAACCAAGGGCAGGGTGACTGCTGGAGGGAATGGGGAGTACCAGGTGGAGGGGAGCAAAGGGGATACAATTTTTGACAACTATAATAGCATAATTAGTAAAATATATTTTAAAAACAGAATGCACTTTTAATATGTTCCATCCATAGGATATGAAAAATGGGCACCTCATTTGATTGGCATAGCAATGACTGAACATTATTTGCACTAACTTATAAGTTTAAAAAAAATGGTAAATGGTTGGTAAGTATTTCGCTTCACTTCAAATTCAACCACTCAACTGCCAAGAGGAATTTAAGAACTCAAAGACTGAGGTCACTCTGCTTTCCTCTTTTCTCTGCTTTAAAGAAACCAGTGTGCAGCAGAGCAGCAAAGTGAGCTGGTCAAAGACTTCCCCGCCCTTCCTGTCAGTGCACTCAGAGCACAGAGCAAAGAGGGAGAGCTCAAGGTTAAGGCAATAGGAGAGCAAGGTCCTGACTCATTAGAAAGAGTCTGTTTCTCTTGTTTCTCAAATACAGAAAGCCAAGGAAATTGATTTCTTAGAGACAAAATAACAAAATTTTAAACTTTAAATTGATAGCAAGATGGGACTGGCTTTAACACACATATGTGTTATATATACATATATGTAACATATATGTGTATGTATATATACACGTGTGTATGTATATATACAAAAGGGAAAAAAGTAAGAGAATCTGAGGAAGGCATGCACAGCTTGGGGCATTACAATGTGCTACTGTGATTTCATCCCCAATCATGACCATTAGATATGAGGAGCCCTTCATCAGGCACAGCCCTGGTCTTTGAAAGTTTCATGCAAATCATGAAAAGAACTGATATACTGAGTCCATAGAAGAGGATGAAGGAAAGGTGAAGTAAGGCCTTTTCTTCTCCAAATTAATACTTATCCCTTTGTATGCATGCAAGTATGTTGTGTGATGATTCACCATGGTAGAAAGCTTTGTTCCATACTTTCGATAAAAGTTAGTGAACTTACAACACATGTCCTACAGCAATCAATATTCTTTTTCCTCTTAGTTGCCATGCATTATAATTAATAATAATAGTTCTTTATAACCTATCTTACTTGTGGGTATATTACAAGGACTACAGAGAATGTTTATGACTGCACAGAGCACCTTATAAGAAAAGAGCTTTGTTAGCTGAAAGTATTGTTATTAATATTCATCATTATAACACATAATTCCAAGGACTAGAAAGAAAAATTGCTTATTATTAGTCTTCTCCCCACTCTGCCCATTTATTTAGGTCCATAGGGAGCTGTAATTTGAAAAGATATTTTCAAGGAGACTTGATAAGCTAGTTTTTTTATGATAGCTTTTCATTATTTTCTCCTTTTCTCATATTCCTTTTCTTTTAATTCTAAAGAAATAAGTTGTGATTCTCTTCCCTATTGTTCCAAATTCATCCCATGTTTTATTCATCTTTGCTCCGTCTCAGCCTCCCTCAACTTGCTGAGTTTTGTCTCTTTTCTCTGCATTCATCTATTTTGTTTACCTGTGTGAAAATCAACTTAATTGTCTGAGCTCGCCTGCATTTAAAAGTTTAGGGAGTAGAAGATAAAAGGCAAGTGTTCAGGATAAAGCAAAGGATACTGTTAGTCATTTAAGAAGACTACTCACTATGTCATACCTGGGCAGGAAAAGACAAGGAAGTTCTGTCAGGCTGGTTTACCTTGATTTGTGCATCTTTCAACGTGATTTCAGCTAGAAGCAGAAGCAAGGTAACTATAATACCATGCAATTTTTTCAGGCCATTTTAAGTGAGCATTCTACACATATATGGCTAGGGAGAAAGGCTTACAAATAATCATCTCAGGAAATCCCATATTCCATCCATAGATGGATGCTTTCTTATGTTTTCTAAGTGTAGGTAGCCATACTGTACTTCCTCTTAGGCATGGCAACTTAAAGGGCATAAATATATACATACAAATGAAAAAGTGACTACTGAATGTTTGGCTAACTAAAAGTTATCTAAAATCCATAAAATTCTGATGTAGAGCTATTCCTTACTCCTGGATCACTGTGAAAGGATGGCTCTGTCCTTACTGTGAGAGAAGGGAATGTGTAGAATATCCTTTCTTAGACTGGATGCAACACTAGTCTCTAAATGATCTAACTCAGCATCAGTGACAACAAGGGTTTCTAAAATACACCAACCCAGTTCCAAGTGAATGCTTGAGATTTGTATCATACTTAAAATAATAAATAACATAATGAAACAAAACCAGAGATGGGAAAATGTTTTATAAAATTCCTTGGAGGTAGAAACCACATTTGATTCATTGTGGTCACTGTGACAATGCCTACTGCAGTATGTATCTTAGAATATGTGCAAAATTAATGTTTGTAGAATGAATTAACAATAATGATAGTAGGCGACAGGTAATTACATACCCATCTTTAGTGCTTCTTCTGCCTTTTTAACTTCATTTTTAAATGCTCCTTTAAAAGAAGATGTGACATACAGATACTTTCTGGAAAAAAATAGAGCATAATCAAGTCACATTATCATTTTAAAGTATAATACCAAAACCTCTTTAAGAAGATTATATACTCCTGAGACACATTATTAGTAAGGAAGATTCATACAGTAAGTTACATCTAGCTGATAAATCAGGAAACTTTATTTCTCAGAAGAAATTCCTTACCTTTTAATATTTGGAAATGTTTTTCTTTCTCACTGAATTTATTGGAGTGACACTAGTTAATAAATTATATAGGTTTCAGGTGTGCAATTCTGTAATCCATCATCTGTATACTGTACTGTATGTTCATCATCCCAAGTCAAGTCTCCTTCGATCACCATTTATCCCCCATTTACCCTCTTCAACCTCCTCCAACCCTCCTCCCTTCTGACATTTGTCAGTCTGTTCTTTATTTACAAGTTTGTTTCTACTTTGTTAGTTTATTTTGTGCATTAGATTTCAAATATGAGTGAAATTATATGGTACTTGTATTTCTCTGACTGGCTTATTTCACTTTGCATGTTTTCCAGGTCCATCCACGCTGTCATGAAGGTTATGATTTCCTTTTTATGACCAAGTAGTATTCCACTGTGTAAACGCCCCACAGCTTTTTCCTATGTACGCTATCATGTCATCTGTAAACAGTGACAACTTTACTTCTTCCTTTCTAATTTGGATGCCTTTTATTTCTTTTTCTTGTCTGTTCACTGTGGCTAGAACTTCCAATACTATGTTGAATAGAAGTGGTGAACGTGGACACCCTGAGCTTAGGGGGAAAGCTTTTAGTCTTTGCCCATTGAGTATGATGCTGACTGTAGGTTTCTTGTATATGGCCTTTATTAAGTTAAGGTACGCTCCCTCTATTCCCACTTTGCTGAGTGTTTTTACCATACGTGCTATACCTTATCAAATGCTTTCTCAGCACCTACTGATATGATTATGATCATGTGGTTTTTGTCTTTTCTATTGTTTATGTGGTATATTACATTTGCATATATTGTACCATCCTTGCATCCCTGGGATGAATTCCACTTGATCATGGTAGATGATCTTTTTAATATTGCTGAATAAGGTTTACCAATATATTGTTGAGGATTTTAGCATCTATGTTCATCAGTAATACTGGTCGGTAGTTTTCCTTCTTTGTGTTGTCTTTATCTGGTTTTGGAATTAGGATAATACTGGCCTCATAAAAAGAGTTTGGGAGTCTTCCCTCTTTCAGGATGTTTTGGAATAGTGTGAGGAGGGCAGGGGTTAGCTCTTTCCTAAATGTTTGGTAAAATTCTCCTGTGAAACTGTCTGGCCCAGGGCTTTTGTGTGCTGGGAGTTTTTTGATTACTGCTTCAATTTCACCAGCTGTTTTCAGTCTATTCAGGCTTTCTGCTTCTTCTTGACTCAGTTTTGGAGAGTTATATGTTTCTAAAAATTTGTCCATTTCACCCGGGTTTTCCAATTTCTTGGTATATAGTTGTTCAGAGTAATCTTATAATCCTTTGTATTTCTGTAGTATCAGTTGTAATTTCTCCTCTTTCATTTCCAATTTTATTTACTCCGGCTTTCTCTCTTTTTCCCTTCAGTCTGGTTAAAGGCTTGCCAATTTTGCTTATCTTTTCAAAGAACCAGCTCCTTGATTCATTGATCCTTTGAATTCTTCTTTTAGTCTCTATATCATCTAATCAGCTCTGATTTTTTTTAATTTTTTATTGTTCAAATACATTTGTCTCCATTTCCCCACCACCACTTTCCCCTGCCCCACCCACCTCCACCTCACACCCTCAGTCCTTCCCCACTTTGGCTTTGTCCATGGGTCCTTTATACATGTTCCTTGATTTGACCCCTCCCCTTCCTTTCCCCATTAGCCCCCTCCCTCCTTCCCTATCGTTACTGTTGGTTTGTTTTTTCTTTCAGCATTGCTGGTTATATTTTTATTGCTTGTTTTGTTGATTAGGTTCTACTTATAAGTGAACTCATATGGTATTTATCTTTCACTGCCTGACTTAATTCACTTAGCATAATGCTCTCCAGTTCCATCCATGATCTCACGAAGGGTAGTAGCTTTCTTTCTTTCTGCTGCGTAGTATTCCATTGTGTAAATGTACCATAACTTTTTGTGTTTTGGGTTTTATTTATTTTTCCAAATGCATTTGTCTCTGCCTTCCCCCCACCACCTTCCCCTGCCCCCTTCCCCCTCTCCCTCCCTCAATCCTTCCCCACTTTGGTTTCGTCCATGAGGCCTTGCTATATGTTCCTTAGCTTGCCCCTTCCGTTCCTTTTCCCCCGCCAACCCCTCCCTCCTTCCCTCTTGTCTCTGTTGATTTCTTTTCCTTTCAGTGTTGCTGGTCTTATCTTCCTTGCATCTTTGTTTTGTTGGTTAGGCTCCGCTTATAGGTGAGATCATATGGTATTTGTCTTTCGCCCCCTGGCTTATTTCGCTCAGCATAATGCTCTCTAGTTCCATCCATGCTGTCGCAAAGTTTGGTAGTTCTTTTAATACTCCATTGTGTAAATGCACCATAATTTTTTGATCCAATCATATACTGATGGGCATTTAGGCTGCTTCCAACACTTGGCTATTGTAAATTGTGCTGCTATGAACACTGGGGTACATAGGTTCTTTTGAATTGGTGTTTTGGGATCCTTAGGGTATAGTCCCAGCAGGGGAGTCACTGGATCAAAAGGCAGTTCCATTTTCAGCTTTTTGAGGAAATTCCACACTGCTTTCCACAATGGCTACACCAGTCTGCATTCCCACCAACAGTGCACTAGGGTTCCCTTTTCTCCACAGCCTCGCCAGCACCTGTTGTTTGTTGATCCGTTTATGATGGCCATTCTTACCGGTGTGAGGTGGTATCTCATGGTGGTTTTGATCTGCATTTCTCTGATGGTTAGAGATGCTGAGCATCATTTCAAATGTCTCTGGGCCCTCTGTATCTCTTCCTTGGAACAGCGTCTGCCCAGGTGCTTTATTCCCGCTTTCCTGAGTGTTTTTATCAGAAATGGATGCTTTTTCCTCAATTACTGATATGAGCATGTGGTTTCTATTTTTACTTTTGTTTATGTGATGCATCACTTTTATTGGATTGTGAATACTGAACCATCCTTGCATCCCTGGGATGAATTCCACTTGATCATCTGGATCAAGTGGATCTTCTTTTTGATGTATTGCTGGGTACAGTTTGCCAATATTTTGTTGAGGATTTTAGCATCTATGTTCATCAGAGATATTGGCCTGTAGTTTTTTTTCTTTTTGTGTCTTTATATGCTTTTGGGATTAGGATGATCCTGGCCTCATAAAAAGAGTTCAGGAGTCTTCCTTCTTTTTGGATTTTTTGGAATTGTCTGTAAAGGACAGGGATTAAGTCTTCCTTAAATATTTTGTAAAACTCTCCTGTGAAACCATCTGGTCCAGGGCTTTGATGTGTTGGGAGTTTTTTATTACTGCTTCAATTTCATCAGCTGTTAACAGTCTATTCAGGCTTTCTGCTTCTTCTTCATTCAATGTTGGAAGGTTATATTTTTCTAGAAATTTGTCCATTTCTTCAAGGTTTTCAAATTTTTTGGAACATAATTGTTCATAGTAATTTCTTACAATCCTTTGTATTTCTGTGGTGTCAGTTGTTATTTCTCCTCTTTCATTTCTGTTATTTTTTATTTGAGTCCTATCCATTTTTTTCTTGAATAGTCCACTTAAAGGCTTCTTGATTTTGTTTATCATTTCAAACAACAAGTTCCTGGATTTGTTGATCCTTTGAGTTGTTCTTGTAGTCTCTATGTCATTCAATTCTGCTCTGATCTTGATTATTTCCTTCCTTATACTTGTTCTGGCCTTTGTTTGTTATTGGTCTTCTAGTTTTTGTAGATGTAGGGTTAAGTCTTTTGTTTGAAATTTTTCTATCTTTTTTAAGTAGGCCTGTATGGCTATAAACCTCCTTCTCAAGGCTACCTTCATTGTGTACCATAGGTTTTGGGTTGTTCTGTGTTCATTTTCATTTGTTTTCAGAAGTTTTTTTATTTCTTCATTGATCTCATTGTTTATCCATTCATTATTTAATAATATGTTATTTAGTCTCCATGTAGATGAATGCTTTTGAGGGTTTTTTTCCTTGAGGTTGGTTTCCAGTCAAGTCATTGTGAATTGAGAAGATGCTTGATATGGCTTCAATTTTCTTGAATTTGTTGAGGCTTGTTTTGTATCTTATCATGTGGTCTATCTCTGAAAATGTTCTGTGTTCATTTGAAAAAAATGTACACTTTGTTTCTTTGGGGTAAAAGGTCTTGTATATGTCAGTTAAGCCCATTTGATCAAATGTGCTGTTCAGTGCCACCAGGTCCTTGTTGATTCTTTGTTTAGAGGATCTGTTAATTGTTGACAGTGAGATGTTAAAATCCCCTATGATAAGTGTGTTGCTGTCTATGTCCTTCTTGAAGTCCTCCATGATTTTCCTTATATATTTGGGTGCTCCTATGTTGGCTGCAATATGTTTACAATGTTTATAGCTTCCTGATGGATTCTTCCCTTTAGAATTATGAAATGACTTTGTCTCTTTTTATGGCCTTTGTTTTGAAATCTATTGTGTCTGATACAAGTATTACTACCCCAGCTTTTCTTTCCTATTTGCTTGGAATATTTTTTTCCAACCCTTCACTTTCAGTCTGTGCAGTTCTTTTGTTCCGAGGGGCTCCTGTAGGAAGCATGTATATGGGTCATGTTTACTTATCCATTCAGCTACCCTATGTCTTTTGACTGGGGCATTTAATCCATTTACACTTAAGGTTACTATTGATAGGTACTTATTCAATGATATTTTTTCCTTTTCTACCTGTGTTCCTCTCCCTCTCACTTTATACCTTCATCTTCTTAAAGCAGTTCTTTTAGCATGTCTTGCAATGTTGGTTTGGTGGAGGTGTATTCTTTTAACCTTCTGTCTGTGAGACTCCTTGTTTTGCCTTCCATTTTAATTGACAGTCTTGCTGTCTAGAATAGTCTTGATTGCAGGCCTTTACTTTTC